CGAGTTATCCACAGAGTAACATAGTAATATTACGGACTATTATTGTAATATTACTGTGGTTGCCGGTAATATTAGTGTTGTTATAGTAATATTATTGTCACTCACAGTAATATTAATTCTATTAGCTTTGTATTATGTTCACATTTGTCGAACGGTCAACATAGTAATATTACTCTATTACACAATTATAATGAGTTTTGTTGTGTTAATATTACTATGCTAGAGATTAATATAACAATAGTACTGTGTTAAACTGTAGTTTAGTTAATTTTACTGTGTTTAACAGTAATATAGTTTATATTAATGGCAATCATAGCAATATTGTTGGTTAAGCTTATAGGAAAAGTTACAGAAAGAAGAAAAGCAATCAGAAAAGTCAACGCCGTAGACCGGCGGAGACCGGTGGTTGAAATATCAGGAAAAAAAAAGGTCAACGCCGGACGACTGGCGAAAAATCCAAAAGAAGAAAAAAAAATCAAAAAGTCAACACCGGAGACCGGCGTTGTCCACCGATCAACGACGGAATCCGGCGGCCAAAAAAAAGTTTTGGGTCAAAATTGAATAATTTGTGAAATTTTGGGTCAAATTGAAGTTAAATTAAATTAAGCATGAAATTGGAGCATATTAAAGTATGAGGGGTTATCTTTAGTCTTCGACAGACCTCCTGGACCATGTGAAGAGTTATTTGTAAAGGAGATTTTTGTCTGGATCTCTTTATGAATAAGGTGGTTTTTGCAAATGCTTTTTGAAAGTGATTATGCGGTTTTTTTTGCTCATAATCTGTTTTTAGGTGTTTGCAAAATCAACTTTTGCTTTTGCTTCTCTTAAAATAATCTAGTTTAAGCTATTTTTTTAAAAGCACCACTAACCCTGCTTTTTCAATTTTAGTTCATTTTCCGAATTTTTGCAAACACCCCCAACTTTTAGAAATAAGCACTTAAAACTAACTTAAATCACAATCACTAACTTCTGCTTTTAAATAATCATTTGCAAACACCACCTAAGTACCAATTGATGGGCTTAATTGTAATGACCCCTATCATATATATATATATATATATATATATATATATATATATATATATATATATATATATATATATATATATATATATATATATATATATATATATATATATATATATATATATATATATATATATATATATATATATATAAATATATCTATATATAGATAAATATATATATATATATATATATATATATATATATATATATATATATATATATATATATATATATATATATATATATATATATATATATATATATATATATATATATGGGTTGTTGTGCATAAGTCCCCAACCAAGCATCTTTATTATTCTAGGTTTAGGGGCTATATCTCTTTCACCAATAAGCTCATCCCTTTAATATTTATCTTATATAAAAGAAAGAAACGCTGGATAATCCTAAAAAACACTAATCGTATTTCTGTAATTATTTATTTTTAATTTTTTTTTTCTCTACTAATTTCTAACTATAATTTTTAAAAATGATCAAAATTAAAATTAACCCATGACGAATCCTACCTTATTGGTACTTATGTAAGTATTTTTTTTTTATTCTTTTTCTCTACTAGTTTTTTAACTATAACAATTATTAATCTCCAATTTTTTATCAAGTTATCTCAAATCTTAAGAGATAAAGCTAGAAATTCGATTTGTTAAATCTTAGTCTATTTATTTGGATTATAAATCACAATATGTAAGATTTAAAAAAACTAATGTTAAATAAAATATGAATAATACTACATTATTAAATTTTACTATATTAGTGTACTATATTTTCTTATTATTTATTAAATTGGTTTTTTTTCACTATTTAAATAATATCCCGTGCATCGCACGAGGAAAATGCTTGTATACATATATACGATACGGGTCATTAAAAATAAGCCCATCAATTGATACTTATTCATAAAAAAAGTCAACGCCGGAGTTATTCACGAAGTAACGTAATTATATAACTGTCGTTGACAGTAAACTAACTGTAAACACAATAATATTACTATGAACAACATCATTATTATTTTTTAGGTTTTTTGATTTGTTTGAGTTATTCACGGAGTAACGTAATAATATTACTGTCTATTATTGTAATATTACTTTAAACACAATAATATTAATGTGGTTGACGGTAATATTACTGTTGTTATAGTAATATTGCTGCCAACCACATCGATATTATTATTTTGTATCGATCTTTTTGTTTGTTCGAGTTATCCACAGAGTAACATAGTAATATTACTGACTATTATTGTAATATTACTGTGGTTGACGGTAATATTAGTGTTGTTATAGGAATATTATTGTCACTCACAGTAATATTAATTCTATTAGCCTTTTATTATGTTTACATTTGTTGAACGGTCAACATAGTAATATTACTCTATTACACAATAATAATGAGTTTTGGTGTGTTAATATTACTATGCTAGAGATTAATATAAGTGTTAAACTATAGTTTAGTTAATTTTACTGTGTTTAACAGTAATATAGTTAATATTAATGTCAATCATAGCAATATTGTTGTTTAACCAAAAAAAAAAGTTACAGAAAGAAGAAAAAAAAATCAGAAAAGTCAACGCCGTAGACCGGCGGAGACCGGTGGTTGAAATATCAGGAAAAAAAAAAGGTCAACGCCGGAGACTGGCGAAAAATCCAAAAGAAGAAAAAAAAATCAAAAGAATCATGT